TGTCTCGAACCGGGGGGGGGGGGGTTGGGGGGGGGGGGAGGTTGGCGACTGGGTGTTAGGAGCGTAACAACACTGGCAGGGGAAAAAAAAAAAAAAAAAAAAAAAAAAAAAAAAAAAAAAAATACAGGCTGCAGTATTTTGTTGCTTAGATAATAAGAGTGGGAATGGGGGTTTCTTCTTACCACTTTTCGGACACTCCTAACACCCCGTAGCCTGAAAATAAAGGAGGAACAGTCTGCAAGTGAATTAAAAGCAGGGGAGGATTAAGGCCATCCCCATTGTTGAGATGTGATGACTTAACAGGATAGAGGGAGGAGAAAAGTAGCAGACCGCATGGTAAGTGAGAGAACCGGCTTTAGTATGTACACAGACATCTTACTGGAGAGGAAAATTCAAGGAAGAATTTTACTGCCACTGCAGGCTGTGCGTTTGAAGGCATCCTGGCTTATCTTATTATTGTTGTTGTTGTTATTCATTACCGCTATTACTTATATATTAGTGTTTTGACGTTATTGATGCGACAGGAGGGTGAACTTTGTCGATTCTTTTGTTCATGAGACGAATGCAATTACCCAGCTCCACTTTGCTTGGGCTATGATATAGGAAACAAAATTAGGCCTATCTTAAGAAAACAAGAATGAAGAATAGCTTATCAGATCAAAAAAATTACTGTCATTTGGATAAGAATTTGCCTGATGTACAAAAATTTGCTTGGTACTCTCAAGTTTTTATGTTTCCAAAATATGCTACATAAGTGCTAGAATTTATTTATTGGTATCTAGTTAGAAGAAAATAAAAGTTACCCCATTAGTAACACAAAATTTTATTCCAATATTTTTCATCACATGAGGGACATTCCACAGGCTATAAAAATTCTCAATAAAACTGTAAACCTCATTGAATTGTCTCACACTGAGTTGAATATCAATAAAACTACAATTTTATTGGTAAGTGCTGGACAGCAAAAATGGGAATCACATTGATTTACATTATCATAGTTTAATATCCTTTAATAGATATTGTTCCTTAGATTTACTTTTCAAATACCTTTCTTCTCTCTTTAAAACTACTTTTTCTGTGGGACTTTCTTTCTCAGAAATTTCATCTATTTCCGTGTTCTAAGTATGAATGAATCCTGAAAGTTTATCCTAGATTAGCATTTCAGTCTCCTTGACACTCAGCCTTGGATATCTACAAGGAACTGAAATTTGGCAGGTTAAAAAACAAGCCCATTCATTTTTATACCTCAATATTTCCCAAAACATTTATGTCCTCTAGACTTTTTTATTTCATTAAATGGATCTAGATTTTTGAACTTGATGATTATCCCTCCTTTATTTTTTTGTATTTAACAATGCAAATTCCATTTTTATAATATGTCAATACTTTATTCTTACATTTCCATCTTTAGACCATTTCCTCTAATGCAGAGCCTCTTAATTCCTTAACTATTTGAAAAGTCCTTCCAAATGTAATTCTCAGGGTTATTTCTCCTATCTTCTTTATTTGTCAACAGTACCCCACTGCTGATTAGTCTTCTCAAGGTGCAATCCCTCTGCTACTCTATCTACCTTTGGGGTCCACTTCAAATGCCATTACTTCATTAGAACTTTTTTCAGTGTCATAATTATATACATATATATAACTATATATACACTGCCACTGACAGCCTTAGTGTGAATACATTCCACCAAGCGGATGTTACACACAATTTGAATGTATTAATTTGAATGGATATTGGTATCCATTCAATAGAATATATATGAAATATACTATATATATACTGTATACATACTCTCTCTCTCTCTCTCTCTATATATATATATATATATATATATATATATAGAGAGAGAGAGAGAGAGAGAGAGAGAGTCCATATCAATCTGGAAGATACACATAAAGCTAAATAATTGAAGTAAATTTAATAGGATTGAGTTACACATTGTTACTTTGGAAATATTGTAGTGGTGGTTTCAATAATATAGACATATTTCAATATTATAGACTCTTGGTCATGTGAATTTTTTGTAAAAATTTTCCCCGATATATCATCACCCATGATTAATGTTTTTGGAAATGTGATCAATTTTATGTTGATTACCTCATTTCCCCCCACCAAGTATAAAATTGAGATGCCAAGCATGGTGAGTTACTCATCTTTGTATTCCAGGCTGTAACTTGCATGAAAAAGATGAACGTTAAATATTTACTAAATTTTATCAGTGAGTCTACTTAGGCTCTATGAATTTATAATTTATTTTCCAGCAAACAAAGGGGAATTTATTTATCTATCTATCTATCATCTATCATCAGTCTATCTATCTATCTCCCTATCTACTTACTTATCTCTCTATCGAATATATTTCTTCCACTTGTGATGCAATTGAAGAATTACTTAGGGCCACATTGCTACCAGGAAACACAAATGCTCACAAATAACTATTAATATTCTTTTGCTTTGATTTATTAGAAAATATTTTTCCTCTAAACTGGGAAAGACATTAATGCTTTCTATTAGGATAAAGTGACTGCTAAAAATACTGGAGGTTCTTTTCACCGAAGAGTTAGGCTATTGGGTCAGAAGCTATTGCCATTGACGGTCTTAGTGTAAATGCATTCCACAAAGTGGATGTTACACACAATTTGAATGAGTTAATCTGAATGGATATTGGTATTGAAAATGGCATATTTTCAGTGAAATTGAATGAAGCATTCTAATTTGTCTTCAAATTCAGTAAAATTTCAATTAATAGGAGAAAAAACAGGGAGATATGTAATTCATATACCCAGTAATTCTTTAGCTAGTTATCCTCTACATTTGCTGTTTTCTATTTTCCTGTATTACTCAGTCTAAAGCAACTTCTACTGCTTCTCCCATGATAGTTAGAGTTGCACATATGCTGAATCTTATAAACATGTCTGCTATGAAATTAAAAATAAGTGTGGTTTATTTGAGATGATCACATATTTTCTTAGTTGCTTTTTGGGTTGTATGGCTCCAATAGCACACGGTACCCTCAGCTTCTGTTTCATTAATTCACATTAAATAAACTATGAAACTAGTGCTAAAATGGACAATTCAACAATTAAAGAGATGGTAAATGGAGATAGTATATTTACTTTACCACTGCCTTCATTATTCTAAATCTTCTAACAGCAGCAATAAAATATTTTAGCAAGAGTTTCTAGATGCAATAAGAATTTAATTTTCTTCTCAGAAAGAGGAACTTGTTTATAACTCACCAGAGAAGGCTGAGCTTATAAGATATTTAATTGTTCCTATTGTGATATAATTCGAGCCTAGAGTAATTTATTTTCTCTTTCAATGTGGAAGATACAAATAAAGCTAAATAGTTGAAGTAAAAATTAATAGGATTGAGATACAAATTGTTACTTTGGGAGTATTATAGTGGTGGTTTCAATAATATAGACAGAATATGCATCTCTGTACCTCCATCATATAAAGGGCTTTGCTGATTGTCATGTGTAAGTGGGCAGTGTGTGGAAAAGTATGCTGAGTAATGGGAAGCAACTTTTCTTTCTTGTTTTTTTTTTTTGTTTTTTTTTGAGACAGAGTTTCCCTCTTGTTGCTCAGGCTGGAGTGCAATGGTACAATCTTGACTCACTGCAACCTTTGCCTCCTGGGTTCCAGCGATTCTCCTGCCTCAGACTCTTGAGTAGTTGGGATTACAGGCATCCGCCACCACATCTGGCTAATTTTATTTTTAGTAGAGATGGGGTTTCACTATGTTGGCCAGGCTGATCTTGAACTCCTGACCTCAGGTGATCCACCCACCTCGGCCTCCCAAAGTTCTGGGATTACAGGTGTGAGCCACAGCACCCAGCCGGGAGCAACTTTCATCTATATTACATTCACAACAGTGGTGAGGCTAAACACCTCACTTACATATGGGATCTGCTTTTCAGGCAAACACCCTACATCTTTGCTTTAAAAAGCTACCCTTGTACTGACTATGTAAGGCATTTAAGTGTTGCTTAGTACAGGGGATTTTGAGCTCTTGGTCATATTGTCTGTAAAGAACTGTTTTTGCCCAATATTGTTCAGTGTTAGTCACAGTAGCAGATATTTGAAAAACATAATTTCTTTTTTCTTTGAGATAGTATGTCTCTTTCTGTCACCCAGGCTGGAGTTCAGTGGCTTGATAATAGCTCACTGCAGCCTCAAACTCCATGATGGCAATTCTCCTGGCTTGGCCTCCCAAAGTGTTGGTATTACAGGGATGAGCCACTGCTCTTGTTTCATAATTTCCATATAGCCATTTCCAGTGGCATCATACTGTATATGTAGAACTTAATTATTTTTTTAATACTCTTTTTTTGACATTATAAAAGTAAGGCATGGATTTAGAAACTTGGAAAATGTTTACAAATGTATAGAACAAAACATTTGTCCATAATTTTAAAACACATGGACAACATTTTAATATATTTTTGCCACTTTTTTGGATTGCATGTGCATGATCGTACATGCATGCATTGAATCTAACATTTAAATGTATGAAGTGCTGGACACTGTGGAATATATACACACGCACATGCGCGCACACACATACACACACATACACCCCTATGTGTATTTGAATTTTTCATTTTATGTTATATTGTTATTGGAAATGCCCCATGCCATTAATTGTAACAAAATGGCATGAATGGCTGATGTTAGATATACTCTAATTCATCTGTTCATTTCTCTATTGCGAAACATTGATTCTTTTCAGTTTTTATTACTACAAATTCTATTGTAATGAGTTAACATCTAAGGAAAGTTAATATTCTATAAACTGTACTGTGATGGTTGAGTGTCAACTTGATCAAACTGAATGATGCAAAGTATTGTTCCTGGGTGTGTCTGTGAGGGTGCTGCCAAAGGAGATTAACACTTGAGTCAGTGGGCTGGGAGAGATGACCCACCCTCAGTTTGGATGGGCACAAACTAATCAGCTGCCAGTGAAGCTAGGATAAAAGCAGGCAAAGGAACATGGCAAGACTAGATTGGTGAAGTCTTCCAGGCTTCACCTTTGTCCTGTGCTGGATGCGTCCTGCCTTCAAATATTGGACATTAAGTTCCTCAGCTTTTGGACTCTTAGACTTACCCCAGTGATTTGCTAGGGGCTCCTGGACCTTTCCCACAGACTGAAGACTGCACTGTTGGCTTTTCTACTTCTGAGGTTTTGGGACTCAGACTGGCTTCCTTGCTCCTCAGCTTGCAGACAGCCTGTTGTGGGACTTCATCTTGTGAATCTGCGAGTCAATATGCATTAAAACTCCCCTCTATACACACATCTATCCTATTAGTTCTGTCTCTCTAGAGAACCCTGACTAGTACACACACTAAATGATCTTCTTTCAGAGTTTGCCCTGCATGTTCTATCCAGCTGATAGTGCACATGGCAAAGACAACACCTTTTTTATTGTCTAGTTTAATAGTATAAAATATTCCTGAAACCTAATATTTTAAAATTCCTAACTTGTATCCCTCTTACAAAAATGTTCTATATAAGTTACTTATAAAATCACCAGCTACTTTAAAAACCACTGGTCCTTTTTTTTTTTATTTCTCAGTCCTTCTCATCTAGCTGTGATTTGTTTTTTATTTCCTCAGTTTAAAACCTTCTTTCTAAAAGAAACTTTCCTTTCAAGCTTTGAGCAATCACCAAAATGTACTCAGTCTTCTTTCTGGACTTTCTCCCTTGTGGAACTCCTTCATTCTAAGGACTTCAATGACAAGGCCATGTGAATTAAATCGATTTGTTTTAACACATATCTTCTGTCTTACTATTGATGAAAAAACTTTGAATCAGATCATACACCATGTGATTGTGATTTTTTTTCCCCTTACTTTATATACTTAATACAATGCTATTAGCACTACTGCTACTGCTATTAATAGTAATGCTTACTGGCCATTTGCTATAGTTGGACCAAGTATTGTGAAAAGCGCTTTATTTATTCGCAACATGTAAATTCACCTTGAAAATATTCTATGAAATATATATATATAGTTAATATTATTTCACAAATAAATAATATGAGTTCTCAAGGCTCTGTAATTTGACAAGTTCTATATGACCCTAAAGAGCAGATATAACTTACTATACTATTCAGTTTAATCACAAACCGTGTATTGCACATAAGACTTTATCATATTTACAAGTAGTTTCTTTGTAAGTCAGTTGTTTCTTATTGCCTAGTCCAAAATGCAATATAAAGTTTAACCATGGATTTTAGCAGTAGACCTGAGAGAAAACAACTCAGAATTTGAACCTGAAGCATAGGATGATAAATAGTTCTCTTGTTAAATGTGTGGTTCTTTCATGCCTTATTTGGGTCCATCTGTTTTCAATTTGCAAAGTATGTTTTAATTATTATGTTGTAGTATTTTTTTTTGTCCTCCTTAGTCAATGAGACCTGGATAGTGGACATAGGGTTGGCTGTGAAAACTTTCGTTGATGAGTAAACACAGCCACAGATCTCCAGATATCAGGAACTGTGGGGCCAGCACTTGTGGGCAATATGAGCCCATTCTGGGACACATTTTCTGTCCTGGGCTACCTAGCTCTCTATTTACCAGCTTTGTTACCTCTATGGCTCCACAGTGCCTCTATCTTCTTCTTCTTCTGTCTTCACTGTTCCATAAGATTCCTGTCCCGAAAAAAATGTGTTCTCACAGTTATTCTCCTGATTGAGGAAAGGCTCATGGCTCTCTTGAAGTTTTTCTTCTAGCTAGATTTATTTTCTTGTTAACAAAGAAGCAATAAAACATTAATTTTGAAAAAAAAAATGTGATCCAAATTATCCCCTAGGAAGAAGGAAGTCCCAAGCCCAGGGTCCCAAGGCAGTGTGGTCTAGTTGTTGAGCTTATGGGCTTTGACTGTAGATCTGATTTCAGTCCCACATCAGTCACTGGCCAAGTTCCTTAATCCTTGAGAGACTTAATTCCATCATGTTTAAAATGGGAAAACTGCACAAACAAGCTATATTTCATATAGCTGCAAAGAAAGTCTTTTTTTATTTTGTAGCAATGAGCAAAAAGGGAAAATGGGAGAAAGAGGGAAGTGGAGACAGTAACTGAGAACAGTGTTTTCACCTACTCGACTGGCTGGAAGTGCTTTAGGGGTCTAATTACTGTCAATCAATACATGCCAGTTGATTGATATCAAGTTTATTAGACAAAGATAATTATTGCATTTGTAAGTAAAAAAATATACTGAAACTATCATTAATCTTGTCCAATTGCTAAATTTGAAAAATGAGAGTACAATTTTCATTTCAAAAATCAGGTTATTCCCTTGATTTATCTCTGCATTCTTTCCCTTCATAGCTGGTTGCTTAACTACATATTACCTTTTTATTCTTCTTCTTTGTTTCATAGCATACCCTCATTTGCATTTCTAAAATCGGATGTTCCTTTCACATAACACAGTATCCTAATTAAAATATTAAAAGATGGTTTTTGAATGAAGAGAATGTACGTTGCCATAAAAATGTTCAGAGTAATGCAGCATGGTTTTTTATATATATTTCAATTACACTTTCTCTGTAAATTATTTCTAGTTATTTGGTTAACCCTCTCAGCTTTTTAGGATGGATTAAAAATATGGAAGTGCAACTGCAGGCAAAAATAATTATGACAAATAAACAGTAAATTCACAGTAAAATTGGAGGGAAAAATAGGTACTTATTTTCTATTTAATTCTTACTAAAATTAATCTAGTTTCGTTGATCAATTGATTGATTGTTTATTTATTCTTCACGTACAAAATAGAGCTCATCACATTTTTGGTCCACAGCTTATGTTCTCAATCTGTGAAAATCCATTCTCTTGTTTTATTTTACTTTTACCTCCTTCCTTCATCTCCATTTCCATTCCTTCACCCTCTCTGAGATATTTGAAGTACACCCTCAAATATTTACAAATCCCTTCAATATCTATGTGTCTATAAGTACTTTAAGCTAACTAAAGAATGACTTATTCTGTTTCCTACTCTGCTTACTCAACACTATGAATTTGAGGTATGCTTATTATTGCTGGATGTCTCTCCAGTTTATTGCTTTTAACAGAATTTATTTCATTGTGTTCATCATTACATTAGGTTTAGCCAGGCTTTCTTCAACTTTCTGCACCCCTCTACAGCAGCATGATAAATACCATGGAAGATCTGTTTATGAACTTTAGAGTGCCAGCACTAGGTCACAGAATACACATTTATAACTTTTCTAAAATTTCCAATATGACGTTGCAGAATGGCTGAACCAGTTTAATTGGTCTAGGTTATCATCTTTTCTACTTCTTCAGAAACATGCAATGACATCCACCTCTTTAATTTTCGTTATTCTATTAGAAATAAGTGATAACTCGTCAACTTATTTTCTAGTTCCATGCATAGTTCCCTAGGAGACTGCACAGTTGGAATCCTGGCTCCACCACACTCACAAGTTATGTGACTTCAGGTAAGTTTCATAATTCCTCTGCCCTTCAGATCTTCATCAGTAAAGGGAAATATTAATAACACTAGCACTGAATTCATATGGGTACTGTAAAAGCTCTATGAGCAAAGATGAATAAGAGCACTTTGAACCAGGTCCAGCATGTTATAGGCACTATTTATGTGTCACTATTATTTACCAAAATATAAATTCCATGAGGGCAAGATTTCTGTTTATTTTTTGCTTTAATCTCAGTGCCCATAACAGTGTCTTTACATGATGAAGTATGTTGGTGGTATAGAATTTTTATTGCATTCCTGAAAAACACTTAATCACAGTGTGTCATTTTTAATACATTATGGGATTCTATTTTTCTAATGTTTTCCTGTATTAGTGTTATAAACTCAGAAAATTATCCACCAAAGGCAATGTGGCAAAGAAAGAAAAATATAATTTAAATCTTTCTCACTCTCTCAAGCTAATCTGCCCTCCTCTGCCTGGGAGCACTTTGTCTCAACTATTCCCCCAGGATTTTCTGTAGCCTTTAACCTACTTTTTCAGAGTTTTTTATTTTTTTAAATTCCATAGCATTGAGTTATGGAAGGGAGTCAGCAGCCTAGACTAATTTGCTCCTTCTTTTATTAATCAAATTTGCAGATAA